ACAACATGTCTGGGTGGGTGTATGTGTGATAGGAAAGCAAAGAACCATGGATAACTGCATGCTGTTACACTATCCCAGTTATGTTCATCAGCCTAAGGGATGGACATTCCTGGCAGATCAGATGTAGAAGCTAATTATTTATTAATTTTTATTTTTAAAATGAAGAAACATTGCTATAAAACTCCCTATTATCCCTTGTTAATGATATTTCTTATATGGCTAGAAATTCTATGGGACATTTCAGTGTGAGGTAATTGTCTTCCTGGGTTAATAAAGATGTTAAATAGAAAAATGTTTCCATCCATCCATCCATCCATCCATCCATCCATCCATCCATCCAATCTATTAAGGCTGCCCAACTCCAAAAGGACTCTTTGCAATAAAATAGTCAATTAAGAAATAAGATTAGTTTTAGCAATTATATATTTTGCTCTGGAAAAATAAAGGAAAAAAACTTTAAAACCAACAATGATGGCTTAAAAAGTATGTGTAAAAATATTATCATAAACTAAACATACACGGAGAGCATAGGAAACAGACTGGAATGAGAGAAAAATTATCAGAAACATATCTGATATTTTAAAAAATATTATTTCTGGTAAAACTGTCAATACTGGCCAATCATAAGGAAAATCACCATAAAGTTATTTATAGATAGGATAAGGAAGGGTCACACCTTTTTGTACAGGCAGTTCCATTAAAAGCCACCTAAGCTAACAGAACTTAATGAAGCTTGCATAATACTTGCTAATGGACATCTCTCTAAGTACAGCTGCTTGCTTTATTTGAGTTACAGAAAATTATCATCCAAGAAATCTTTTCTGTAGTTATATAACCACCACTTTTGTTGGAAAAATAGTCCAATTTGTGGCCAAGCCTCAATGTTAGGAATGTGACTCTGGTCACTTTGTTCCTTTCCTTCCAAATGTCCTGATATCCTCTCTAGTCATTAGAAAGGGGGAAAATACAGACATTGTTTCTTCCCTATCACTGAAAGCTTGTTTCTCTCAGAGAGCTGTGTTATATGGAGAATTATCAGCATTGTTTGTGGAATCAGGGATCCTGAACTGGAGCCGACCATTCTCCTGGAGGAAACCCTACAGAGAGATGTCCTCATAATCTCTAAACTACAAAGCTGGCCAAGTGCTGGGACTGAAATATAGGTTCCTCCTTCTCGGTAAAGTGATAGCCTTAGCATTGCCCCAAAGTTTAAACCTTAATGGCGGGGGGGGGGGGGGGGAGATACTTCTGGAGTTACTGACACTGGCTAGTGCCTTTCTCATCAGTAGACCGCAGGGTTACATGTAGAGCCTACACAGTCTGTGTGAGAGGGGAGAAGGCCTATATAGGCTGGGTTCTGTGTGGCCCATTATGGCGCTTCAGCCATCAAGAAATAATGGTGTCTTCTGTGCATGACTAATGTGGAGCTATCCAAAGTGAATCTGTTATTCACGATGACATTATAAGGGACTCTGAATGAATGATAACTACTGGTACTGCATTACTTTTCTTTTTCTACCTTTGCTTTTGACATTTTTGTTAGACAATACATGTTTTCAAGTAGTAACACAGCTGATATAGTGCCGTACTGTTTTAACTAAATTGTTTCATGCTATTAGTTCCCAAGTCCTAGAATGAAGAGTGGAGATAGCTAGATAGATATGCTGTGTTTTCATTAGCTAAAGAAATGGTCAGGCCATTTTAAGATAAAGGAGCACATGCCATAGTAGTGATTCTAAGCTTTAATGTTGTTGTATTCCATCTCCTATAATCAACCAGAATTGTTTAAGGCCTGTACAGAATGTGGTACCACAATTGTTTGTTAGACAATCAGTGTATAGCATTGGATCTGATGTGTGGTAGATCTACTGTTCTTCCCTTCAAAGATGTCATATGTTCTCCTTGGTTTTTTACCCATGCTTTAAGATAATTTAAGCTCAAGGACAGTAACTTGCCCATGTGAGCATGGAAATAAATCTAGGTCTAACCATTCTTCCATACTAGCTGTCTATAGCCTGCACCATTTTTAAAAACGTTTTTTGATTAAGTAACAAAAGAGGCAAAAACAAAGAAGAAGAAAAATACATATGCATACATAAAGTGAACTTTGCACTAGACCAAAGGTTGAAATGAAAACATGATAGTTATAAAAGATTTTTTAAAAAACGTTTTGGGGGAAAAAAGGTAAAAAGATAAACAAAAACAAAAAGATTAAAAATATTTGTTATAAAAGTATTCTAAAAGGCCCTCCTCTCCCCCCCCCTTTTTCCCAGCCTCTAGTTGCTATTTAAATATTTTTATACTATGCTTTGGACAACTGTGATTATTACTTATTTCAATTTGGATCATTTGGATTATTTAAAAAAATTTTTTTTTCTCATTTTCTTCAAAAACTATATTCTAAGTGCCTTAGCTTGCCTTGCTGTTTAATAAGTTGTATACAAGGAACCATTCCTGCTTGAATTTGGTTAGACTTCTGCTGTGTATATATATAGGTGGTCCTCGCTTAACGTCCACTTGCTCAGCAAACAAACTTATGACAGTGCTGAACAAGTAGTACTTATGACCAGTCCTCAAAGTTCCAGCTGTCATAGCACCCCTGTGGTCACATGACCATGATTTGGGCACTCGGCAACCAGCTTGCAATTATGATGCTGCAGTGTCCTGTGGTCACGTGATTGCCATTTGTGACCTTCACTGCCAGCTTTTGACAAGCAAAATCAATGGGGAAGTTGGCAGGGGGTCGCAAATGGTGACCATGTGATGTCATGCTTAACAATGGTGCACGATTTGCTTAACAATGGCAACCAGAAGTGCCAGAACTGCCATCACTAAGCAGCGCAGTCATGTGACCCCGCGCTTTATGACTGCATCACTTAGTAATTTCCCTCATTTCTAGATAGCTGCTACTATGTGCAAAAAATTTGACTGTACAATACTGGATGTCTACTTGCAGTAGAACCAGGACACAGGAGTACCTCAGCCAGCAAGAGTGGCAGAGGTGACAAGCAACTAGCAGCAGGAACACCTTTTCTTTCTTCCTCTTGCTGGGCCACTCTCCTTTTTATCTCTAACCTTAAATCTCCTATTTCTGTGAGCAGATTCACATGAAACGACATGGTTGGAAGGGTGCATGAGCACTATATATGGGAATGTGTGTCTGTGTGGGGAGCTTAGTGAATGGATTATCTAGGAAACCTGCACCTAAACTCAGCAAGGCAAAGTGGTCAGCAAGAAAAGTTACAGGTTGCAAAAATGATGTAGTGTAACCAGCTTGGATTATGGGAGAATTGAAGCACACAGTTTGGCAGAAAGAGACTATGAGCTATATATGGAGATGGTCCAGGCAACTTACAGTTTGTGAACCATTTTATTCTGCTCTTCCACTGTAGGCAGAAGAAGCAGTAACATAAAATAACGAGCACAACAGCCTTCTGATACTGGCAGCTTTTTGCCACGCACATGAAGTTTCTCTCACAACAAAACGTTGAGTGAGCGTATGCTTCTAAATTTCATTTCGTGCTTACCAGAGTACAAGGAAAAAGTCCTACCTGAATCACCACTGAAAAGGTTCATCTGTCCAAAGTTTGCACACACATTGCAGGCATTAGTTTCTTGCAAACTGACAGCAGATTCTGGCAGATAAATAAATAAAATAGATATTTTTGTTAGCATACAAGATGAAAAAGCTGCTACAAAATGATTAAAGCACATCTGAAAACTTTTGAACATTCAAAAGCTTTTTTCTGTTTGTATTTGCTATGTGAGTTTCACCAGTTCTGACACTTGGGAGACAATCTTGAATCATATTCAGGCATATGGATCTCTCCATAGGAACACAATTTCAGATATCAGGAATCAAAGTCTAAAGCAGGTGATATGATATGATATTATGATATGATATGATATATATATAAATATAAAAGCAAGCGATCTGATATATATGTCTTCAAGTCATTGTTGACTCCTGGCGACTGCCTGGACAACTCGTGCAGTTTTCTTGACAAGATTTCAGAAGTGGTTTCCCTTGCCTCCTTCCCAGGGCTGAGAGAAGTGACTGACCCAGAGTCACCCAGCTGGTTTCATGCCTAAGGTGGGACTAGAACTCAAAGTCTCCCAGTTTCTAGCCTGGTGCCTTCACCACTACACCAAACTCCCTCTGTTTCTGATTTATATTAGGCAGTGTATAATTAGGCAGTATTAAGAAACCCTTTGCTTGAGACCATGACATTAAATTTGCTTTATCTAACCCCACTTCCCCATTTAACACAAAATGCAGTGGGATTTATTGTAGCTAAAAACTGGATTAGGTAGCAGAAGAAACAGATCTTCCTAACAAGGATGAATAGAGTGCCACCTACTGATTCACAAGGCATTTGAATGAAGAGGAGTACTGTTGGAATGGAGAGGATCCTCGATACCCTACCCTGATTAGGCAGAATTATAGAACTGGGGTAAAAACCAGGGCTCTGAACGGTCAGTCTCAGAATGGCCCTATAATGAGATTCATTCATCCCTTCCAACATTGCAGAAGACATGAGAGGAAAAGAACAAAAAACAAAAAGGACCCATTTAGAACCATGTCAGTATCAGCAAAATACTGGGCTGGAAATAATAATTCAATCTCTTACTTATAATCCAGCTGTATAACAAAACTAGACAACTATGACCCATTGGGTCATCCTTTGAGAGAAAGGTAGTGCAGTCTGATGTGACCAGAATGAATTTTTTTTTTTTTACCCCAATCCTGGACGGTCCCGTCATCATGTACGACTATACATCATAAATAGAATAATTGTAGTGGCCCACAAACAATAGTAAGTCAAAATTTACTTACCTAAAAAGATCAACAGAAGGACCACAGGCAGGCAAAAAACCAGTGGGAGAAGGAGCGATTTCTGACTTCCTGCCGGCTTCCCCATTGACTTGCTCGTGGGAAGCTGGCAGGGAGCATTGGAAATCAGGATCATGCGACTGCAGCTGACTGCAGTGGCGCTGCAGCAGCCACAACTTTACCAATACAACTGGTGTGAATATCCTTGAAATTTCAATTACATGGGAGTAATGGGTCTCAGATTTTGCATGCATTCTTTAAGTTAGCCAATTTGAAGTACCTTCATTCAAAAATTGTTGTGCTGTAATGCACCGTTTCGGCTAATTGAAGGTTATAAGAAGATAGGACAGTTTTAGCAGTATATAGATCAAAGCACTGGATGTGCAGTTGTAGATGAGGACAATTTATTTTAAGTAAGAACAGCGTGTTTTTTCTTAGCACCGAATCCATTTATATATATTTCATGGACAGACAGATGTAACAGAATCACAACAGCAACAAGAATGAGTCATGATTATGTTTCCAATGGGAGGAAAAAAGCAAGGTTATGCCTTTTTTCCTTCAGCAATGGAGGTGCTAGGAAGAGCTGTGGGCAGGGAACGCTCACACCAATTCTAGCAGGTGAAAAGTGTAGAATGTTTATGAAATGCACTTTCTTTGTAAGGAATTGATGAGGAAAATGGAGGGGAAACAAAGAGTTTTTGGAAGAGAGAAAAAAATTAAAATTCCTACACATAGCCAAGAATGGTTAGGGTTTTCCTAGGTACATTTAATGCTGACTGGAAACTCCTTATGGATTTTGTGCATAAAACAGAAAAAAATGAATTTAGGATCTATAGTTTTGATGCATAGACAGGATAGGTTATAGAAAGAAGAGAGTCAGGACGTAACTTTAGAGGAAGAGGTAAATTCATAATTGCACTTATAACTGATGTAAAGAAGACTGGAAGCCACTTTTTTGTATGTTTTTCCTTTTTCTATTTTTCTTTTCCTTTTTCTTTCTTTCTTGTACTTTTAGCTTTCTCTTTAAGTTCTTTTTCTTTTTTCTTTCTT